GTTCACTCAACACAAAATTGTACAAAATACAGTACTTTTCGTGCACATTCAGTATACCACGGACCTCAAGAAAAACTTTTAAAATTCCAGCTCCACCTGTTCATCACAATTCCAATTAGTACCATTTAGTAGACGTAAGTACGAATTTCCAAAGCTTGTTAATTCCAAAAGAAATTTATTTTTAAATTTCAGAATTCCAACTCTGCCGGTTCGTCTAAAACTTAAATTGTACAAAATTTATTGCCATTTAGTACACATAAGTACGAATTTTCAAAACTACCTACATTTCTCAGTCCTACAATGCAATAATACTCTTATTTCCAAATTTCAGGATTCCAATACTATTGGTTCTCCCAAAATTAATTTTGTGCTATATTTAGTATAATTTAGTACACATAAGTATGGATTTCCAATACAACCTTCATTTCTCAGTCCTACACTGCAATAGTAATCTTATTGCCTAATTTCAAAATTTCAGCTCTATCGGTTCACCAAAATCGAAATTGTAGTAAATTTAGTACCATTTAGTACATTTCGTGCACATAAGTACAAATTTCGAAAATTACCTTCATATCCCAATCCTACTTTTCGCCAGTAATTTTAATTTCAAATTTTAGGATTCCAGCTCCATTCGTTCCTTCAAATTCAAATTGTACTAAATTTAATACCGTTTAGTGCTTTTCGAGTACATGAGTACACACTTCCAAAACTACCTTATTTCGAATCTACTGCTCAACTTTGATTCCCATTCCAAAATTCAATTGTTTAGCTCTAACCGTTCACATGATACGAAATGATACCAAATGTAGTACATTTTAGTACTTTTCGTACACTTATAGGATGAATTTCCAAGAATCCTCTAGCATATGTATCATATATCCCATCAGTGGCCCTCATTCCGAATTGAAGGGTTCTATCTCTACTGCTTCCTCAAATACAAAGGGTACAATATTTAGTACGAATTTCTAAAAAACAGCGTGTGTCACTTTTGATCCGAAGGGATCAGGCTTCGGATCAAAGGGACACTCAACCATAATTTCAAGATTCTAGCATCAGCCGTTTCGTCTGGGCGTTGATGAGTCGTTAAGACAGTCAGTAATCGGCCAGTCAGTCAATTACTTTACTATTTTATTAATATAGGTACAGAGAAAACTCCACAAAGGGTTAACATAACTTCTAAGCCCTCCCAACCCCCAAATCCTTTCCATCTCCATCTCTCTTTAATGACAATTTTCTTCCTCGCCCCAACACATTATGATCTTTAATAATTTCTTGCATATTAAAGCAGCCATTTGGCAAATGCATAAAAATTATGGAACAACAGCTGCTGGCAGCGATGCATTCGCCTGGGTCGACCGGTCGGTCGGTCTAACCTCATTTTTGTTGGCGAACGCATCTTTGCTTGCAACTCCATAAACACCGAAATAGCCAAACATCAGCTGTCCATAATATTATCACCCTGGCGGAATGTTTAATTTTGACACAGTCACCCACCCAACACACACAAGGAGCCCAATGCAAGCCTTAGAGTATAATGGGAGTATAGAGAGAAGGGAGAAAAAGAGGGGGCGATAGCATAACATAGGCTCCCACATTCAAGTTGTTACGACTGATGTTTGACCAAAGGATAACAGGCATTTGTCTAATGGTGGTTTGCTTGTTAGCAACTATAAGGATATGTATGCCATAGATATAGCGACATGAATAGGAACACACACACCCACACTCTCACAAAGCCCACCACAAAACAGCTACAAGGCTTGGTCTTCGTTACACCAACGCACACACACACAGACACACTGAAAAGCGCACAATAAGAACAACATCTGTCCAACACACATCATAAATGCATTAGTTAAACAACATGAATAGACAAAAGGATGCCAGGATCTGTCCACTGCCACCATCACCAACACCACCAGCAGCAACAACAACTACACGAACAGAAACTGCATCAAGTTGCAAAAGATGTTTAACATTCATCCGTCCATCTAGTCGAACAATAAAGAGAGCTGGGTGGTGCCACCCAGGCGGCCTTAATGCAATTCCTTTGTTGGAACAATGTAAAGAAAACACTTGCATTGTTGTCGTTGTTGTTCCTGTTCGTGTTATTGACGATGACCAGTGGCTCTCCGTGGGCTAGGTAGGCAGAGGCCCCAGGAAGCAACCAACAGCTGTTGGCCGGTCGCTTGCTCGGTCAGTTGTTGCTACGTTACATGGACATGGATATTATGTTTCGCTGAGAGGAGGGGTGTGGGACAAATGTTGGAGAAAAGGAAAAGAACAACCCGAAGCAGAAACTCGAACAAGAGCAGCAACATCAGTAGAAACATGGGCCACTTTGGTTGAACACAAGAAACATGGCATATAAATTAGCAACATTTTGTACAAATTGCTTAACGATGAATGCTGTTGCTGCACCAGTCGTAGTAGCAGCAGCAGCAGTTGTTGCCAGTGAATGCACTTTGTTGTTGGTGTTGTTGTTTTCATTGTTATATGCTGATACTGTCGCCAGTTGGTCATTTTTTGCGTTGCAATATCCCTTGTTGTACAAGTTTTTCATAGTTGTTTTTACAAGAAATAGCATCTTAATGAATTTGTGGATATAAATAGCTGAGGTACCCCAGATGTACTCAAGATAAAGAGTTCAGAATTTCTAACCATTTTGGATACACTATTGACGTAATTTCAGTACAGATTATTTCGGAGCTCAGATTTGCTTGTGTTTAATTGGGAGTGAAACTTACTTGAGAGCGGGAATGCTCGAAGAGTAAAAGTTTTACAAGAAGTTTATCATCTCATAGCTCGGATTTGCTCGTTTTAATTCGGAAGTGAAACTTGCTCTCTAGCAGGAATGCTCGAAGAGTACACGTCTCACGAGAAGTTTACTCTCCACTCTTTTGTATTGTATGGGAGCTCTTTCCAGTTGCTTATGTTTGAAGATATAGAATGGAAATCGAAACGCTCGAAATGAGGTGAGAGTTTATTCAAAGACTCTAAGACATCGAGTGCAAACAATCATCTTTTAGTTTGCTGATTTGTATGGGCTTGTACGTTGCAGCAAACCGGGTTTGATATGACTGTGAACTGTGGGAACGATGATCGGGTACAAAAGCTGCGAAGAGAAAAACAGTCGACTCAGAGAGTCGGTGTATTTTGAGCACACAAAAAAGCAACGATACTCTCATATGATTTGGTATCGTTTCATTTGCAGATGTAGATTCAGAAAAATACAATAATGGTTAGTTAAAAAATAAGAGAGTACTCGGCAAAAGTAGAATCTTTTCAATTTTGAGCGAATTTTACTCCCACTCTAAAAGGAACAAATCATGGTCGCTCTTATTGGAGACACATCTTTTTTACTCCCAATTAAATAAAGGTTTATTAAAAACTAAGAGAGTACTCGGCCAGAGTAGAATCTGCACGATTTTGAGCGAATTTTAATCCTACTCTTAAATGAGGAAATCATTCTTGCTCTTATTCGAACGATATCGAAAAAAAGAGTATGCTCAATATTTTTTTACTCCCAAGAGGGCTTCAAGGGAGTTTCAATCTCTACTCGAATTCGAACAAGTACAAGCGGAGATCAGGGTTATCTAAATGTCTTATGTAGAACACACACGTTTCGTATAAGTCTTAGATAGAATATATTTACTTAAGGATCGTAAGGATCTTCCACGTTACTTGAGAGTACTATATAAAATTTCCACGTTAACTCAGAGTCTTATACCTTACTATCACGTTACGTAAAATTCTTAGATATATGTCATGTTACGTAACAGTCTCAGATACGATTTAAAAACAAATTCTAACTAACTTAAGTCATTCACGTCACTTGAGAGTCTTAGGCACAAATTCTACGTTACTTGAATGCCTTAGACAAGATATCCAAATTATTAAAAAAAATATCGAAGTATACGTTAGATACTGTTCCATATACTATCTAAATATCTTAAATGCAATATTTACGTTATACAAAAAAGCTTAAGACACAATATCTATATCATACAAATGATTTAGATACATTATCTATGTCATACAAATGCTTTAGATACAATATCGACGTCATAAAAATACACCCTAAAAATTCTTTAAATCCCATATCCGTGTCAAAGAATACAGTATCTGCTTTAAAAGCATACTTTAGATACTTTATCCACTTCATAAAAATACTTTAGATACATTATCCATGTCAAAAATATACTATAGATGCAATATCTGCGTCATAGAATATTTCAGATAAAATATCCGCATCAAAAATATACTTCAGATGGAATATTAACGTTACAAAAATACTTTAGATACAATATCCATCTCATAAAAATAATTAAGATACAATATCCGCGTCATCAACATTCTTTAGATACAATATCAGTCTCATAGAAATATTTTAAATACAATATCTACTTCATAAAAATACTCTAGATAGTCACAAAAATGCTTTAGATACAATATCTACACCATTAAAATACTATAGATACCATATCTACTTCATAAATACATAAGAATTCTGTAGATACAATATCCACGTCGTGAAAATACTTTAGATACAATATCCACATCATAAAAAAATACTTTAGATACAATATACACCTCATGAAAATGCTTCAGATACAATATCTAAACATTGAAACATATTTTAGATACAATATTTACGACATTTATTGCTTTAGATATAATATTCAATGTATACCCATACTTTAGATACAATATGTACATCATGAAAATCCTTTAGATACAATATCTTATTATCTATGTGCCTTAGATAAAATATAATTATATAAAATATCGAATTATCTGGGTGTCATAGATACAATATCCCCATTGTCTAGCTGCCTAAGATACAATATCATAGTTATCTAAGTACCATAGATACAATATATTCATTATCTAAGAGGTTAAGATTCAAGAACCCAATCATCTTGCATATCTTTAATGTTCGAGGTATTGAGAAAAAAAAGTAATCAACTTCTCTTCACTCTCTCTACTCTCCTTTCCAGCCACATCAAACTCTTCCAGCAGCAGTAAAGATTCCACCAGCACCAACAACTCCAACGGTAGCAATTCCAATTCAGCCACAAATCCCACCGGTTCATCTTCGAATTCTCGATCTTGCCGTACACCCGATTCTCCAGAATCGGCCAGAGCGATAGCGCCCCGCTCACCAATGTCTCCGCAGCTGCATCAACATCACTCCAGTTTAGCTCCACCGCCAAGACCGAATCGTAATGCGAGTGCATCGCCGGTTATAAATGGAGCAACAACAACACCGCCGCCACCACCAACGCAAGCAACAAACGCACAACAAACAGCCAGCCAGGCCGCTGTGGCAGCAGCTGCTGCGGCCGCGGCCCATGTGGAACAGGCTCGTCTGCTGGGTAAGATACGTAAATTTCTTGGCTCCCTGGTCCAACTGGCTCAGGATGTCCATCCTGAGGTGAGTGATCGGGTGAGGGCTTTGGTCATATCGCTGGCCAGTGGTGGTATTAATATCGATGAGTTTCGCATGGCCCTGCAGGAGGCCATTAATTTGCCGTTAAGGCCCTATGTCATTCCACTTTTGAAGAATCACGTTTCCCTGTTGCAACGGGAAATTGCCGCCCTGGCAAGGGCCACCAATCAGGTAAGATTAAGCAAAAACTATTTACTTATTGGGTATTAAGTTCAATATATTCTCCCCCATTTCAGACCACTCTCCAGTATGTAACCAGCAATGAAAGCACAGTCATGGAATTCTCTCCCCATGGTCCGCCGGCTGAGTACAGCGATATTTTTGTGCAAATTGAGGGCCAGCCCAATGGCAGTGGCGGCGCCACAAGTTTGGTATTCAAGCGAAGACCTTCCGATACTCTAATGGAACCACATGGCCACAATGGCGCCCAAGAGTGGAGTGATTACATGGCCGCCTATCCACCACCCAAACGTATACATACCCACAATCCTCATGCACCGGCGCCTGAATCTCGCATCCCATTCGCCTCGGCTCAACCCACCATCTTTGATTATTCCGCCACCGGGGTGGCAGCTGCCCAGTCAGATGGACCCTTCAACAATTTAATGGAAAAGGCAAATCATCGAGATGAACGGGAACTACGTTCTTCGGTGCCGCAAGAGCCAGCTGCCCATCGGCCGCTGGCACGCAATGTTATGCCAGCCGCCAGTAGTGGTCCGGGCGGAGGAGCTCCGGGTGGTAGTGGACCCATGCAGGGTGAGGAGGAATGGAAAAATATTCACACCATGTTGAATTGTATCTCTGCCATGGTGGACAAGACAAAGCGAGCCATAACCATACTACAGCAGAGAGGGGTGGAACCACAGCAGCCGAGTTATGGAGAAGTTACGCCAGCAACGTTGATGGAAATTAGGCGACAAACTGAGGAGAAGGTAGCCGAATTCAAGAGGAATGCTGAAGATGCTGTCAATCAAGTAAGTGGAGGGTGGGAGAGAGTTTGATTTATGGAACTTATTTTAATCAAATGCTTCTTTTTCCTGTTTCCAGGTCAAACGCCAAGCCGTAATTGAAATTCAAAGAGCCGTGGTAGCTGCCGAAACCCGGGCAGCCGAGGTAATGGCCCAGGAACGTTTGCGCATGGAAAAATTCTTCGTTGAAATGAGTCGACATTCCGGCAGTGAACGTGAATTGGACAACAAATCACCCTCCATTGGTTCTAGTCAAAATGTAAGTTCTTTCGAATTGAGTAAAGCGATATAAGTTTCGACAAAATTTTGAATATTATTTTGGTTTTTCCCCCTCTTTTTAGGCTTGTTGGAATTGCGGTCGCAAGGCAACAGAAACATGCTCCGGCTGTAATTTAGCCAGATATTGTGGTGCATTTTGCCAGCATAAGGATTGGGAACATCATCATCAGGTAATTTAAAAAAATGTGTACTTTTTTCGGAAGAAGAAATTCCGGGGAGTTTTAAAAGATTTTATTCCGGGGATTTTCGTAGATTTCTTTCAAATTTTTTTTTTTTTGGAAAATAAGTGGATTTTAAAGAAATAATAATAAATTTTTTCGGAGGAATGGGGTCGATTTTTATATCCCACACCACAGAGTGGTAGGGGTATTTTGTCTTTGTACATTTGTTTGTAACATGGAGAAGGAAGCAAGATAGACCTATAATTATGCTTGAAGATCTTTATAGAATCACTTTCTGAATCGATTTATGCATGTCAATCCGTCTTTCCATCCGTCTGTCATGTGTTTTTGTGAAAAAATACAGGTCGAATTTATTACCCGGTTGAGATGAAATTTTCCAAACCATATTTGTTTAGCCCAAGAACGAATCCTATCGAAATTGGTGAGAATCGGTTTAAATTTAAATATAGGTCCCATTAATATCTTCAACCGATTTCGGGTTAATTGTGCACCAAATGGCCAATATCAGTCCAAATAGCCTGATTTTTGGCACATCGTACCAAATTCAGTCCAGAAGAATGTATATCAAATTTGAGGAAAATCGGTTCAGATGTAGCTATAGCTCCCACATATACGTTTCATACGATTTTGAGTTTTAAGTCCCTCACATGCGTAATATCAGATGCAGCTCAGAAATAAGTGCTTAAAATTTTGCAAAGGTCGGTTCAGATTTTGGATATAGCTCCCATATATACCTTTATCTGATTTTAGGGTTTTTGGAACCAAATTGCAAATATCAGACCAAATGGACTGAATTTTGACACTTCCGACGGAATTCAGCCTAAAAGCAAGTGCTTCAACTTTGGGTGAAAATCGGTTCAGACATAGCTATAGATCTCATATATATGTTTCATCCGATTTGGGGTTAAAGTCCCTAACATGCGCAATATGTACTCCACAATAATGATACTTGATACTGGTCCTCAGATACGGCTCGAAAATACCTCTGCCAAATTTTATCGAGATCGGTTCAGATTTCTTCATACGATTTTACGGCTATTGCTCACCATACACAGTGAGATGAAAAAATTGCAACCAATTTCAGACTGCTGTCATTTCTAAGCCACTCGTCCGACAGCTGTTAAAATTATTCCAGTGACAGCTCATTATATTCATTACAAGCGTACAAAAGCATTTTGGTGAGAATTTTCCAAAAAAAAAGATATTCCTGATGGAATTCAAGCGTGATAGTTAGATTCCTTTATATTTGGCTGGAAACCACAAGGGACTATCGTTAGAGCACTCCAGCATTTAAATGTGAATAAATCTTGTGTGTCTCGTACCATCGATCCGCTCGTTATCGTGATACTGGTAGCGTAGCCCGACGTCAAGTAAGTGAACGGAAGAAAACAGCAACATCAGCAAAATGGTTTGAAAAGTAAGGAAGCGACTTGATCGAAACCCACGTCGCAGTGGCCGACAAATGGCTCGCAATATTCCATTCGGAAAATATTGAAAAATGATCTCGGAGTAAAGCCATTTAAATTCCAAAAAGTGCAAGAACTTACACCGCAAAAGAGAGAAAATAGACTCAAAAGACTTAAAGAGTTGCTTCGCTTGGCCAAAAGTGGTGAACTGCCTAATTTGGTTTTTTCCGATGAGAAAACACTCATCGGCCAGCAGTTTGTAAACAAACAAAATGATCGTGTTTACTTGCCAAAGAGGTCAGCTGACAATGTGAACCTTCGGTTGGCCACCAGAACTCAAGCGGCGGCCATAGTAATGGTTTGGGCCGCCATAACAGCCGATGGTCGCTCCCCGCTCGTATTAATAGACCGTGGCATCCGAATAAATGCCGAATATTATCGCGAAAATATTCTGGAGGGTGTATTAAAGCCTTGGGCACGCAAACTTTTTGGCCGCAGACCTTGGACATTCCAACAGGACTCAGCACCATCGCACTCAGCACGAGCCACCCAAGAATGGTTACAAAATGAGGTTCCTCACTTCATTTCCAGCGCACAATGGCCACAAAAATCTCCGGATACCAAATCCGTTGGACTATTGTGTCTAGAGTATTTTGGAAAGCAAGGTTGGCATAAAAAATACCAAAGTGTCGATCACCTCAAGCAAGCGCTTCGCCGGCAATTGGCCAAAATACCACAGAGCAACATTCGGGTAGCGTGTGACAATTTCATTGGCCGTTTGTAGGCCATAATTCGTGCCAAAGGTGACCAATTCGAACAAATCTAAACTTATTCTAAAATTTGATTCTCTTTCCAACATTTTTTGCTTTCATTCAATAAAATTAAAAAAAAATGTAAATATTATATATTATATCTATTGGTCCGATCTTTGCACCAACTTAGACAAAATTTGATGTTAACCCTAATGCGCCTCTTTAATATGAATTAGTATGAATTCCTGGAGTTTAGGTAAGATTCAAACTCTTGACGTCTTCTAGGACCTATATTCGTTTTTTTTTTCATAAATATATCTTTCTTTAGAATATCATAAATTGCTAGATCCTATTTAAATGGAGTTTTCAAACATATTTAAAAAAGGACCAAAAATACTCCCTTTTAGACCCGCTTGAGGGTTAACATTTTTGGCCAAAGTATTCCTCTTATTTTTATCTGCAGCATTGCCGAAGACATGATATACCTTAAATGCACGGGTTCCGAAAAAATCTTAAAGGGAAAATTTCCAAAAGTGTGGAAGAGGGGAACTTGCCACCTTTGTTTAGGTTACTTTTAAAACGGCGATACACTAGTCTTCCTTTTTTAGCTAAGATAATAGCTCCAACATCACATTTTATAACCGAAACTAAAGGAATACTCGCAAATGTTGAATCTGCTTGAGTTCGAGTGAATTTTACTCCCAATTGAAAACGAGCATAGCATAATCGCTCTTATTCGAGTACAGTTGAGTCTTTTATTACTCTCCGAATTACTTTCCCTCGATTTTGGTAAAGAATTAAATTGAGCTTTTATTTCTTTTTATTACTCCGAGGAGTACTCTCACTCGATTTTGGGTAAAGAATTCAATGGAGCTCTGAATACTAATCGTGTAATTTTCACACGACCATAATGAATAATGTTTCAAAAAAATTCAAATTAAAAATTTTTATTAAATATGCTTTTCCATTTCGTTTTCTTTCGCTCTTTCAGATTTGCGGCACCACCCGAACAACAGATCTTTCCACCAAACATCCATCTCAAGTTATACCCCTGTCGGCGACAATACGCGGTGCCGTCACCCGCTCGCCACCCACACCCGTACAGTCAACCGGCCATGGACCAGCGCAGACGAGTCAAGCCACCAGCAGTGCAGCATCGGCACCGCAGCCGAGTTCATTGGTAGCCAATGGCATTGGTTCCAAATGACGTATTCGCATGATGAAACCCAAAAAGAAGTACATGTGCTAGTCAAATTACTACAACTACTATTACTAGAATTACAATTAACAAAAAGAAAATAAGAAGAAGAAGAAAGAAAAAGCCCCGCCCCCAACATTGACAACCATGTCGATTCTCTGCAAAAAAAGAAAAACGGATTAACTTACTTAAAACATTAAAAAAATTAATACAATTAAAAATAATTCCGACATAAACACAACACACCCACACAAGCCCAATTAATGATCTTAGAACATTAAAGAAATTAAGAATTTTTAAATCAAATTAATATTTAAAAGAGAAAATTATTTGAAGAAGTTAAAACAAGAGAAAGAAATACATAAGTAAATTATAATGCTCCCAAAAATAGTCTTAACCAGCCCTCCCCCAGAATACAACAATAAAACTAAGCGAAGAGAGAGTGGGATGTATCCAGGAATGAAACTTTATGACTTCGCCCTTGGGCTCTTAATGAGAGAAAACACACACAATTACAATTCTGTGTGTGTATTCTCACCATCGAGCATACTTTCATGATATTCGAGAGACAGAGAAATTAACTCTCTAAAATCTCAAATAATAGCATATTCTCTTTTATTAAAAAAAGATAAAAAACTTAAATCTCATTGGAATCTTGAAGGTAGAAGCCTTTGTCATAAAATTTCATTTCAGAATTGTTTATACAACTCTCTCTCTCTCATAACTCAAAAACTATCTGTCAATTTTGTGGTCCTATCCCCCAAGGACTAGTTGTCAGACTTACAGCAAACCAAAAACAGAGAATTTAATTAATCAATTACAGATATAAACTTCATAATTGCAGTTACGAACAGAAAGAAAGAAAAACTAGAATTAGATGTGGTAAAAAATATCTCTCATATTTGTTTAAAATTTCTGAGTTTTGAAATATTTTCTTAAAGAATTTCGAAAATTTATCTCAATTGGAGAAGAGAGAGAACTCTTTAGATTGTATGCAAATATGATTTTGTAGAGGGAACATTTCACTCTTCTTGCAATCAGGCCATGAGAGAGAGCGAGAGAGTGTACATTGATCCACATTAGCACAAAAACGGACACGGACAAATACAGTCTGCATCAGTGCTCGCCAACAAACCGCCCATAGGAAATTCACCATACCTTGTACATAGAACTCACCATCGATCAGTAAATTCACCACCAGAACTTTTCGCTTGTTTACCAACGCAAATTTCAATTGTAGGAGGTCAATGAAGCAGGATTTCACGATTTTCAACTTCACATAAAATTAACACACACAATGTTTACAGAGAGAGGGAGAGTTACTCTCTCGTTGTTCATGTCTGTGAAACATATACAGGGTGAGATAAAATAAATTGCAACAAAGTCGAAGGCCATAATTTTTATATTTTTTTAAATTTTATTGAATGAAAGCAAAAAATGTCGGAAATAGCATCAAGTTTTGGAATAAGTTTAGATTTGTTCGAATTGGTCACCTTTGGCACGAATTTTGGCCTTCAAACGGCCAATTAAACCGTCACACACTGCCCAAATGTTGCTCTGCGGTATTTTGGCCCATACCCGGCGAAGCGCTTGCTTGATGTGATCAACACTTTGGTATTTTTTAGTGCCAACCTTGCTTTCCAAAATACTCCAGACACAATAGTCCAACGGATTGGTATCCGGAGATTTTGCTGGCCATTTTGCGCTGGACATGAAGCGAGGAACCTCATTTTGTAACAATTCTTGAGTGGCACGTGCTGAGTGCGATGGTACTGAGTTATGTTGGAATGTCCAGGGTCTGCGGCCAAAATGTTTGCGTTGCCAAGGCTTTAATATATCCTCCAGAATATTTTTTGGCGATAATATTCGGCATTCATTCTGATGCCATGGTCGATTAATACGAGCGGAGAGCGGTTGTTATGGTGGCCCACACCATCACCATGGGCGGCGCTTGAGTTCTGGTGGCCAACCGAACAATTTGCACATTTCAGCTCTTTGGCAAGTATACACGATCATGTTGTTTGTTTACAAACTGCTGGACAACGAGTGTTTTCTCATCGGAGAAAACCAAATTCGGTAGTTTACCACTTTCGGCGAAGCGAAGCAACTTTTAGCTCTTTTAAGTCTATTTTCTTTCTATTGCGGTGTAAGTTCTTGCACTTTTAGGAATTTCAATGACTTTACCCCGAGCTCATTTTTCAATATTTGTCGAATGGAATATTGCGATATGTTCAGCGCATGAGCCATTTTTCGGCCACTGCGACGCGGGTTTCGATCAAGTCGCTTCTTTACTTTTCGAACAATTTCTGCTGATGTTGCTGTTTTCTTTCGTCCACTTCCTTGACGTCGGGCTACGCTACCAGGATCACGTCAACGAGCGATGGTAGGAGGCACAAAAGATTTATTCACATTTAAATGCTAGAGTGCTCTAACCATAGCTATTTTTGGTTTTCTTGCCAAATATAAAGAAATCATACTATCATGCTTGAATTCCGTCACGAATAACATTTTTCTGGAAACTTCTCACCAAAATGCTTTTGTACGCTTGTAAACAATATAATGAGCTCTCACTGGAATAATTTTAACAGCTGTCGGACGAGTTGCTTAGAAATGACTGCAGTCTGAAGTTGGTTGTAGTTTTTTCATCTCAACCTGTAAACTCATCACAAGAACTTTTCGCTGATTTACCAACGCAAATTTCAATTGCAGGAGGTCAATGAAGCAGGACGTCCGGTCGCTTGATTTCATGTTTTTAAATTTCGCATAGAATTAGCACAAGAGAAGAAGAGACTCTCTCGATGTTCATATCTGTGAAACATACACAATCAAAGCTCTCGTATTGGTAGACCAATGCTAGCCAGCCACTATGAATATGTGTAGGGTGTGGTGAATTGCCCATGGGCGGTGTGTTGGCGAGCGCGGGTCTACATCTTCGCCTGGTAAATAGGCTTACAAATAACTCAGTGAAATTAAACTCTCCACACGAAATTGTTTTCACCAGAATAACGATTTTCCTGTCTACAGATTTCTTTCTCTCTCTCACGTCCAATACTTCTTGGAAAATATTTCAATTCCATACTCGGCATTACCCATCTCACAGGCTCTTAGAGCAAAAAGGAATAATTTGCATTTTCTCTTTCTGCTATATTAAGTTTTTTTTTTTTTTTTTTTTCAAAAAATTACATATATTTTTGTTATTTTATTTATAATAATATTTATTTAATGTTCATTATTTAAGGCATTTAAATAAAATGCCACCCAATTATTCTAAGAATTCAAAAGTAAACAAAATTTAATGGAAAATCGTGAAAATATTTTTCTAAATTTACATTTAGCAAACTTCTATCATAACTCTAGCTTGTAATATTTATTATTATATAATTTTTATTATTTTGTATTCAAATAAATATTTAATTATTGTATTGTATATGAAACCACAAGAAAAACACACACCAACGTACACACACACACTATCAATTAAATATTACGTAATTAGTATACTATTGAAAAATTATGTTAATTTTTTCTTAATATTTAATATTAAACAACAACAACAAAGTGGAAAATTAAAAAAAAAAACAAAAACAAAAACCCCATTGTAACGATGACGAGAAAACTTAATTACAACCCAATATGAAAAATCTCTCCCAATTGAAAAATCGTAAAAATAAATCAAATGTTCAAAACAAAAACAAAGTGGAATGGTTTTATTAAAATGTTTCATTTTTTTTTGGAAATTTTGGGTGAATATCAAAATTAAAATGGGTGAGTATTAATTTTTTAGAAGGTAAAGATAGTACTACATGGGAGTACTGTTAGGCTGCAAATGGATGAAATTCACTCAAATATGCCAAGTATTTATTAAGAAACAGCATTGGTTAAATGTATGGGACAAAGGAATGGAATTTGAAATCTGAAATTTGTTATTAGGGTCACTTTTTTGAGGTGGGTTTGAAATATGGACGTGGTGAACAGTATTAAAATTGGTATTTGCGATAGAGATAGAGCAGGAAATCTGAAATTTGGAATGAGGGTATTAGAGGTCGTTATGGAATAGAGGTGGAATTGGTTATAAGAATGGTAGTGCTTATGTAAATTTAGACAATTCGAAATGCGTAGTGCCTAAAGTGCGAAGAGTACAAATATCAATTTTTCTTTGTCAATAATTCAGATAAAACCAGTAAAGAAAGTCTTAAAGTCGGGCGGACCGACTTTATGATACCCTACACTACTTTGCTAATTTAGTAGAGCTCCACATAACAATTAAAAGTTTTTATGGGAGACGGACGGACATGCATAAATCGACTCAGAATATGATTCTATGCAGATCATTAAAAGGAACTATGGGTCTAACTCGTTTCCTTTTGCCTGTTACAAACAAATGCACAAAGACATAATATCCTGACCACCTTCTGGTGTAGGGTATAAATACGAGGAATATTTTGTTTGAAAATTTTAACCCTCAAGTCAGTCAACAATGAGGTCTTTTTGGTCTTTTTTCAGAATATGGTTAAAAAACGGGATCGTAGCAAGTCAAGCCTTTAAGCGGACATCAATAGATCGACTCCAAATGTCTTGAAACTGTAATTTCGATGAGGCACGTTTTGGCCATATCAAATAATATATAACCTAGCCATATGACTGAGGGTATAAAAAGCGAAAATATTATCTAATTGTTTTGATCCATTTTTCCTCGCCCTTTTTTCCTCGGCACTAGATTTTCCTAAAACTTCACATAATTCTGATCTGATATAGAGGGTATTATAGTAAAATTCTCCATAAGAACCCAAGAATGAGAATGGAATGAGAAGACTATATTTCTACCTTTCCTGGGGGGTGTAAGTCATATGATCACCACGATTCGTAGGCAATCGAGAATAAAATTGATGATATTCCGATGGTTAATAATTTGTAGATATTCGGGAACTAAAATGTAGACATGTCAGGTTGTTGTGTTGAAGATTTAAAGGTAATCAGGAAATTTGATAGATTGTGTCCACGTCGCATTATATGAATCAGAAATTTGTTGTATAATCGTTTATGCTTCGATCTGCAACTGACAGTAGCGATGTTCCGCTACGGGCAAGAATATTTTTTTTTTTAAATATTGTAATTTGAAATATGCAAGCTTATACTCATTTAACCAGTAATTATCGAAAAATATCTTTAAATAACCTTTATTGTAAAATTAAGAAGGGGCTAAAATTTAACCCCACGCCATACAATACCTGGCAAAATATCACCACGACAGTTGAAAGTTAAACTCTCTAGTTTCTTCATGAATTTCTAATCATCTCTCTCTCTCTCTCTTCCGATCTAATCACACACTCATCCACTACTCCCACTCTCCTACCCCAATTTAGTTAATATTATAAGTAATTGTGGTATCTTAAAGAGCTTATTCTAGCTTTTTTGTTCTTCTAATTAAAATATAAATCTATGAATTTTCATGAAAAAGTTAGTTAGTAAAATAAAAAATTTAAATTAATATAATTTAATAAATTCTAAAATTTAAAACAAACATAACTCTGTGGAACAACGAGGTAAAGACTCCTGTGTAAATTAAAGTCCGTCGATTCAACTTAATGAGAGTCAGTTCAAAGTGGGGTTTCCAGCTAAAAATTGAGTTAATTTGAGGACAGCGAATGTGTTAAAATCACTAACTATGCAAGCCACCTGCAGTAGCAGTAGTGATGGACATCGCCAAGTAAACGATAATTATTTACCCTATGCAGTGAACGGCAATTTGTCGATAGCCAACTTTTTAATGAGACCGCTGAGGGATACTTGGATTTTTGGATGATGCTGCTCGTGTGTGGATGTTGTTGTTATTGTTTATGCTCGCTGGTTAATTTATATTGTGGTTACTATTAGTGCAATAGTATCGTTCCATTTAAATAAAGATGTATCTTCTGTTTTTACTTGTATTTCAAAATAATAAAATAATCGAAACTTCCTGTTTAAAATTCTCCCTTTCAAAAGTTCCAAATTAAGAAAACAACCATATATCTCACATATCATGCCTCAATATCTTAATATTTCTGTCATTTTCAGTTCGAAAGATCCTCCCCCAGTCAACGTTTTGAATCAAAAATAATAAAATGCTACATTACGGATGTCATTTTCGTTTTGGATTAATTTCTAATACACCACAATTGGCATTTGGATCCCCGAGTTCAGTATGGTCACACTACCAATTTTATTTAAATTCCAAAAACAACTTCCACACAATATTTTTTTTAAGAATGCTACAAAAATTCACTTTAAGAAATTGCAATCTGCCCAGACTTTATTGACAATCCCAGAAAATTGAAAAAAAAACCTATCTGTTGCCAGATGATAAAGTCGACCATATTCCGAATTAAATCAAAACATTTGTGCAACAACCACAACACACACAAAGAAAATATCAAAAAAGTCTACACAGAAAAAAATTAGCTCCTTCATGCAATGGCAAAAACAACAACATTCACACAAACCTACAACACATCCAGGCACCAAGGACGACTCTGGGGAGAATGCTGTCGAAATAAAACAATCCTAAAACAACAAAGGCATAACCGAATCTCCGATCTTCCATCAACTGCAACAGCTTGTCTTTTGAAATGTGGTTATGTGAATGTTGTGATGCATGTATGTGTGTGTGTGTGTGTGTCGGCACCTGTGTTTGTGGCAATCAAATTTGATGGGTTTACCTTTTGGGAGATTCCCCCCCCAAACAAAAAATACATCGTTTGAAGCTGAACACTGAGGATAGTTTGATGAGACTTAATGCCGGCAATGAAAGTAAATTTGTTTCGTTATGTGTCGGTACAAATGACTACCGACTACCGACAGAGTTGGAATGAGGCAACTTTGACAGGCAATGCATGAAGGTGTCCTTAAGGCGATAACATTCGTTAAATGCAATGTAAATTGTTAAGAAACATGGATAGTGAGTCACAGGCTGCATGTCATATGAAGAATGGGGTTATTGCTTTGGAAGTTAACTGAAAAAGAAATGGAAATCACTTTTATAAAAGGCTAGGAATATTTCAGCTCATGTAATTATTTCAGTAAATTGTCTTTTTATAAAAATGTCATAAAACGGTTGGAGGCTTTGCCAAGATACATTTATAAGAGACCAAACATTTGGGTTTATTTGAGTTGCAATTCCCTAAAATTAGCCTGTTGGCGCCCAACCACATAGGGGAATTAATTACAAATTATAGGGCTTAGAAGTAACATTTGCAGAGATTTCATGATCTCATGGAAACCAATTGAAAACTAAAAAAACTATAATTGAAAATTAAACTGTGCAACATTTTTTTTAATTCTCAATAATAACGAACAGATTATGAAAGTGGTGCTAATATCAACTTCGGCCGGGCCGAAATTTTAATACCCTTCACCATTGGGTAAAGAAAACATTTCTATATAAAAAAATCTGAATTCAAACGTTCAAATTCAAAAACAAATACCAGTAAGACCGTTTGGATAATCCTGTTAAACTTTTCAAAAAACCATATAGTGGGTGAGGCAGTTGTATGGGGGCTATACCAATACGGGAACATCTATAGACAATTTTATACTTCAAGGATTGTCATCTACCAAATCTTCTTAAATACCAATTTTTAAACAATTTCGTAGGTAAATGTGAGTAAGATAATCAAAATACTGAATATCGGTGGGTATATTTATATGTGGGCTACAGGAAAACGTGACCTTAATATTCAATGTTCTGCCGCCGGAGCTAAAATCCGTTATGAACTACCAATTTTTTAGACAAATGTTGCAAAAATCATCAAAATACTGAATATCCGGAGGTACCATTATGTTGGGGCTATACGAAAACGTAGACCTATATATACTATGTTCCGCCACAGGAGCTAGAACCTTACGATCTACAAATAAATATTTGTGGACAAATTCGTAAAAAAATGTGGTAGAAATCATCAAAATACTGGATATCCCGAAGTACCGTTATATGGGGGCTATACCAAAATGTGGACCTATACAGGGTGAGATAAAAAAAACTGCAACAAAGTCAAATGCCATAATTTTTACATTTTTTGTTTTGAATTTTATTGAATGAATGCAAAATATGTCGGAAATAGCATCAAAATTTTATAATAAGTTTAGATTTGTTCGAATTGGTCACCTTTGGCACGAATTATGGCCTTCAAACAGCCAATGAAACCGTCACATGCTGCCCGAATAATGCTCAGCGGTATTTAGACCCATTTCTTGCTTGAGGGATCGACACTTTGGTATTTTTTAGTGCCAACCTTGCTTTCCAAAAACTCCAGACACATTAGTCCAGCGGATTGGTATCCAGAGATTCTGGAAATGAAGCGGGGAACCTCATTTTGTAACCATACTTGGGCGGGGCGAGCTGAGTGCAATGGGGCTGAGTCATGTTGGAATGTCCAAGGTCTGCAGCAAAAATGTTTGCGTGTCCAAGGCTCTAATACACCCTTCGGATTATTTTCGCGATAATATTCGGCATTTATTCTGATGCCACGGTCGATTAATACGAGCGGAGAGCGACCATCGGCTGTTATGGCGGCCCACACCATCGCCATGGCCAGCGCTTGAGTTCTGGTGGCCAACTGAAACTGCACATTTTCAGCTAACCTCTTTGGCAAGTAAACACGATCATTTTGTTTGTTTACAAACTGCTGAAAAACGAATGTTTTCTCATCGGAGAAACCCAGATTCGG